ACACACACACACACACACACACACAAATGAAAACACAGTGGGGAAAAAAAGGGTGTTGCTTTTTGCATGGCTCCTTACCGGGTTCCTGGGTGAAACAGTGAAGGACCGTGGCGGCGTAATTCACATCGATCCTCCTCACCTGCGCAAGCACACACACGCCTTAAAGTTTCCTGTTGGCTAACTGATAAACATTTTCGACGATGAAAACGTACATGAATACAAGAGTGAGCGTCCGGCAAGGTCAGGCCAATGGACGAGTGCTCCCCCTGATGAAGACATGGTGGTTGCGGCGGTTTCTTGCAGACATTGTGGAACGACGCTCACTTTTGGCGACCTACCACTTGTGCAGTCATGCGGGCCCCCGTCGTGCGACACGCCGCAGAGCCTTGGGACGGCGTGCATGCGTCAATGCGGAAAGTGGCGTTGATGTGTGAGGTCAGCGTCAAACCCTGCGGTGTCCAGCTCACATCCCACACTGAAAAGAACATTTAGTTGTCATGGACACATACAAAATATGGGGACTGTATAGTCTCATTAGTCCCACACATTACTATCCAATACAAAGTGCACAGAAAAATATCATTTTAAACAAAAAGGTTGAGAATTGAAGCTCCGCGACATACTTTAACATAGTTCAATAACAAGAAAATGTCACAAGGTGGCAGCAAAGCAAGGCAGGAGGCCCCTCCAACCATCTTCAACGTTGTTCCTTGGCACACATGGATGGCACCAAAACAATATGTGAAGCGCCTCAACTCATGTCCACATGTTCCTTGGTACCGAGATGGGGGTGTAGCACTACAAGAAGCTCCTCAAGCCACTTCAGAATTGTTCCTTCGCACCAAGATGCCGCGAGAGCAATAGTCATACATCCCCGAAATGTTATACAAGTTAAAACAAAAACTGCAAGACATGCATGGCAACAACTACAACGGTGTTGCATAATGTGGACTTGCTTTAAGGGCATTTTCACTAACACCGACAGAATATTAAAAATATTTTATTATTCTGAAAAAGTCATACCTTGGAGTCTCCTGACAAAAGGACACTTGATCCAAGACTGGTTGCCTGCAGTGAACTGATCAATAAATCAACAAACAACAAAAGAAATTTCAATTCTAGCAC